CCATCGCCCATGTTTTATTCGAGAGCCTGGTCCCAGTTGTTCAAAAGGTGGATCACTATCCACCGGATAAATCACTACAAACATTGGATAATACAATAGGTTTCCCTAACACTTAACAAAAAAGCAAAAACCGGTGTCTTTTAAATATCAGCAGATTGATTAAGTTGACCCTTTTATTAAAGCCCTAAGATATTTTTAAATTATGCATATCTAGACTTTTTTATAGTGATTATCAACAAAGCATTGCCGAGTGTCAACAAAAAAAAACCAAGATTTAGACTCCACAGTTTTTGCCCTTTGCCCGATTTGCTCCCGGTTTCTCAGCATTATTTTCATTTAAAGCGTTAAAACCGTGAAGTCTTTCGGTTACAGATCCAAAAGAAAGACTAGTGTTTAAAAGAACAAATCATGCGTAATAATCTCTCATAAAAGTGGGGTTTACCCCGTGAAAGTGAAAGAGAATGTAATACCAATGAAATAAGATCACTTTCGCTTGTGAATATTATATGACCTTGAACTTTCAGTTTCGAATGTAACGCGTTGCAAGGAATTTGTTATGCGAAGATGTCCCCTAAAGAAATTCAACCATTGCATAAACCATACAAAAATGGGATAAGCTCACGAGACACTTAACAACTCATCAAACAAAGAGGCTAAATTTAGCACCTGAAACCTGGTTCCTGTCACAACCTCCTCCAGTTAAAGAAGCACGGACTTCATCTTATAAAATTGAATCTGTACTTTTGCCACTACCATAAGATTGATGATCCCTTTTTTGTTTGCGTTTGCGTCTTTGTTTAGTGCCCTCTTCAGGTGCCACCATTCACCATGGGTGGCCCAAGCACCCGCACTGTTGCATAACGTTCAAAATATAAGGATTTGTATGGGAGAAAAAACAATTGCTTCTGTAGCCTAACAATGTAAAAGGAATTAAATAAAAATCGGCTAACCTTGCTTAAGCTGTGTGTTTCTTCTTTCCTGTGTGGTTTCCGAGCCGATTTATGGCCATTTAATAGGATTTATTGCAACTGGTTTGCTCTCTCTGGAGACCATTACTAGAAAAAGAGAGAGCAAACTGGTTGCAAAAAAACCCGGTTTGCTCTCTCTTTTTCTAGTAATGGTCTCCAGAGAGAGCAAACCAGTTTCAATACAACCCTTAAATGGCCATTAATCGGCTCGGAAACCACACAGGAAAGAAGAAACACACAACTTAAAGGGGCTATGTCACCCAACACGCATGCGCGAGCCAATGAAAACAAACTTGAAAAAGACGGCCCAACTTTTTCAAGTTGTGTCGGAGAGGTTATCCGTCGGTGGTGTCACGTGTCGTTAAAGTATTTAAAGCGCACCTAGACAAATGCTTCGTCATGCTTACTCAGCATAAATATTTCCACCTACCGCCAAAGAATGGACCAACACAAACACGAACATGTTCACAATCGCATTCACAGCTTCCTACGTGTAAAAAAAGATGATTTGCTCTGACTGAGTTGGAAAAAAGGTAACTTTCGTTATTCATCCTTACTTTAAACCCTTTAGTCCCTAAAGTACTGAAAGCAAATTTCAACAGCAATCCAAATTTTGATCATCTAAGCCCGATAGAAAGCTTAGTTGATCCCTAGATTAATAAAAACGGCGAATACACTTTTTTGGCTATTGAAACAGAGGAAGCCTGAAGTAACATGGGAATGGTCGACCATAAACCGTCAGGTAATCGATCGATTCCATTTCAGCACTTCAGCTTTCACGATTTGGCGAGTTCCAGTCCCCTTTCCTCTTCAATTTCGAACGCCTGATGCGTAGCCTTTTGACAGTAACTCATCTGAGGCTGTTAGTTACTGTATGCAAAAGTGCGACTTCGATGACTTATCCTTTTATTGAAACTGGTCTGCTCTCTCTGGAGACCATTACTAGAAAAAGAGAGAGCAAACCAGTTCCAATAAAACCCATTAAATGGCCATAAATCGGCTCGGAAACCACACAGGAAAGAAGAAACACACAACTTTAAGCAAGGTTATCCATCGGTGGTGCCAGGTGTCGTTAAAGTATTTAAAGCGCATCTAGACAAATGCTTCGTCATGCTTACTCATAAATATTTCAACCTACCGCCAAAGAATGAACCAACACAAACGCAGAAATATTGTAATGGTTTATAAGGGGATTAGTTTTGGCAATCGTTATTAAGAGGTTAAAACAATAACAGCATTGTCCCCTCGTCCACGGGGTGTGCAGGTGACTTAAACCGCAAGGCCGGACTAAGCCCAGATTTCCATTGGCCGTGTGTGCAAAGAATCATCGACGTCCTCGATGAAAGAGAGTCGTTAGTTTTCAAAACTTGCTGGACTTCACGCTTTGCGGTCTCTTTCGTCCAATGAAGAAAAGCGGTGTGGTCAAATCCCACTTTACGGTCACCCCGTTAATTCGGACAATTTCTTTGACCCCCTCGATGACCGTATTTACGGGGTTTGACTGTAGTTAGAGGAGGATTGTAACGTGTACTGGGTTAAATCTGGAGGCCAGGCGATTGGAGCATTTGGAATAAATTTATAGCTGATTTCTCTCGGTGAATATACGAGAACTTCGCGAGTTAACCAATCTTGGTGAATAATATATAGAGAGAACAACGGCAGAACTAAAACTCGCAGTGGAAACACCCTGATCTGAAACGGCCAAAAATGCTAAGAACCCACCATAAATAAAAAAGAATACTAGTCGAGAGTAAAGAGTAAGGATCGCTAAATTACTCATACAAACCCCCAAAATATTCCGACCTGTTATGCTATTCTCACTCATGAGCTTGGGTTATCTTTTCATAGCCAGAGTTAATTCCGGACCGATGTAAACTGGGTCAAGTGATGCATTATCGCCCTCATCGGGTTTATATTGCAACGGCACCATCAGCTTTTTTAAGATACTGTCGTTGATGTTCACTATTTAACGAGTGATGCCTTTAAAAACATGTTTTCGATATTGCTCATTTTTTTCTTATCTTTGAGGTCAAATGCTTTTACATTAGCTTACATTGCTACCGCGAGATACACTTCAAAGGCAAAAAACCTTTGCACTGCTTTACAAGAAAATGTTTTTGATTTTTGTTTTACATTATCATTGTTAGATGAGAGTCCTGCAAGTTTTTCTGGCCATGAGCATTGTATTTGAAGCCGTTGAATGTCGCTGCTCACCATCTTCGGAGTTTACAATTGTGGATGCAAATGGACAGCGAAGATGTAAGAAGTGTCTAAAATGCCCGCCTGGACAAGGTCTTCCAGTACAGTGTGGCTCTAATATAGCAAATGGAACTGACACTGACTGCAAGTCGTGCAAGGCCAACGAGACCTTTTCTGAAAGATATGACTCCTCCTCTTGCAAGTCATGCAATCTCTGCGGCTTAAAGAAAATATTACAACATTGCACTCCGGGCCGAAACCGAGTATGTGCCAATTCTTGCCCCCCAGGATATTTCCTTGATAAACATGATGACTGTACAAAATGCTATTTTTGCTGTGAAAATGTTCCAGAACATGATAGACTTCAGAAATGCAAAGATCTGGGAATGCCTCGTAGATTGCAGTGTTTAAAGACAAAACAAAATAAGAGGTGCAAGACCTTATTTTATCAAACCAGTGTTAAGATGTCTGTCACGATAACACCAATAAATACAAATGTCTCAGTGGCGGAAAAAGACAAAGAACCTTTAACTATGATTAATAAAGGAACTATTACTCCTAAAACTTCAGGACACGGCAGCACCTGGTCTCGGCAGCCATTAACCACCAATGCCTCAGAGTCCCTGGCCACCTCTAGCAAGCCCACATTACAGGTAGAAAAGGCTTTGAAGCCATCACCACCAAAGGTCCGCACTGACAAGACTGGTTTGATTACAGTAGTCACTGTATTGGTCAGCTTGTTTATTGCCAGTGTATTGGTTGTTATTATGGTGCTCATTTGCAAGCATAAGACTCCTGCAGGATTCACTGGAGTCAAACGTGATGATATCGACATATCCATCATTCCCGAAGGTATAGAATCAAAGAAAATTGAAAACAACAGCATAATGGGTATTAGTTAAATCCAACTAATGGTCTATTATCAATGCCGCGTTCTGATTGGTTGACCTACTATGTAAGAGCCCTCTAGTAACGAAAAGCGCGGGCTTTTTGGTGGCAAAAAAGGATTAAAGTCTAGCTTTAACTAGCTAAAAATTTTTTATTCTCGATATCTTTGACCAACTAGTTGGATTTTACTAAAACAATTATTCCTCTCGCCCTCATGGCCTCCGAGTCAATAGCCCATTCGGCCTTCGGCTAGTTTGCTACACAGCCGTTTTTAGTGTCGTCACGCAGCGTTGCGTGACGACACTAAAAACGGCTGTGTAGCAGACTAGCCGAAGGCCGAATGGGCTTTTGACTCAGAGCCCATTCGGGTTCGAGGAATAATTGTTAAACAGTCAAATCGCCAAAATCTTAGCCATCAAACGTTGGAAAGCTAATTTTATAAGTCAACCGTCAAAGAATGGAGTGTTTGTATTCTCCAAACACACCCAGTTCAGAGGATCCATTGCCCAAATAGAGTGTTTCTGGACCTCCTATCTGGTCATATTTTCTTCCCTTTGAAAATATTTAAGACTGAAAATTACCAAAGACGTTCGTCTTGCAGTCATCCTCGGAAACAGGCCAGGGGCAGTCACTCAGGTCGGGATAAACGGCGTTGAAAGTTTTAAAGAACGGTCGCGGTCGAGAGAGACCCTAGAATGCCACTGAAAGCAAACCAGTTCTGCGAATCACTCGAATGCTTGTCTCTGATTGTGCCCAATTGGAGGCCAGCATCTATCGCGCTGCTTTCGTGATCTTTTTATACGAAGCCAATCTGAGACAAACAATTGAATGAGTCGTGGAACTGGTTCGTTAAGAGTAGCATACCAGGGGCTCTCTCGTACGTTCTCGAAAACTTTCGCCGCCGTTTATACCTACCCGACTGACCGCCCCTGGGTCTCGGAGGATGTCTTGCAGAGCGCTACATGTTTAGATACGACCTAGACTACGAGTAGTCCCCCATTTTTCCCCAGGGATAGTAGAGCAAGCGAAACGCGAGGGCGCACGCGTGTCGCCTTTTCTCGCGTGGGATGATTTTCACGCGCGCTCGCGTTTCGCTTTCTCTACTATCGCTGCGGAAAAATGGGGGACTATTCGTAGTCTAGATACGACCATGTTGGTTTATTTTCAGAAACAACCCCATGGGCGGATTTATAAGTGGCCCAAGGCGGGTGGCGGGGTGGCTTTATTGCTATAGAAATTGGAAACCTATCGTTGCAATTAAAAAATTTGGTCATGACGTACTTACGCCCGTAGAGACTCTCGGGAGGGGCCGGGGAGACTCTTCAAGGGAGGGGTGGGGAGTCCCACACATGCAGCTTGCGTTTCTGGCTCCTCCCGTCACCTTATCGCTGTTTTTAAGTCACATACCTATTGTTAAGGCTTTCTCTAGAAATAACTTCAGTTAGTAGCTTCCTTTTCCGTCCCAGAGGCTTTTTTAACGCTGGCATTGTGAAAACGCCAAAGTAAAAAGTGCAGCTTTAAAATTCGCATAATTAATAACACTGAAATGTATCAATCATAGTGGTAATTAGTGCGCATTAATATAAAAAAATTAGCATAACGTCAGAACAGAGATTATCACAACGCAGATTTTTTGGCCTGTTTGTAGGCTTGGCCGTTTGGCATGGCATTTGAAGGTCCTGCAGTGAATAAATTTAATTTAATGAAAGGTTGACTCGTTATTGCACACATCATAAAGATGACGTTATGAGTTTTTCATGGTGTTTAGAAAGACAGTTAGTTTCCAAGAAAGCAAAAAAGGAATTACACCAAAATTTCCGAGCTTGGAAGTATGATATTAAATAAGCAGCATTGTTATGATGCTTTGGAGTAAATTGAGTAATTAGCTCATTTGACTAGTGAAAATATAAGACTCAAAATTTATTTTCGTTTTATTTTCATGGAGGTTATTTGCCAAACACCACACTTTAAATTCCCGACGTTGGATTTTCAGTCGCAGGTCTAGATGTTGCAAAATTCGTCTTTAACTTGTTTCAAAGATTTGCTTGACTGTCTGGTGCAAATTAAGAGATGAATATTATGATCAAATGCTCCTTACATTTATATCTAACATAAATGTATACACAAACTATAAAATGTACAAGCAAAATTATATAACATCTTGCTACATTATGATGAAAAGCCTAAAAAACTGATAAGAGTCATATAAAAATTACATTTAAAAATTGTTATAGAAAATAAATTAAATTAAATTATAAAACTAGATCTAACACTAAAATACACGAGTAATCATGCTAACAGAGGCTCTAGGTGTTACAAATAAGGAATGCTTTCTTGAACAAGTACGTCTTAATTGCTCCTTTGAAAAGATCATAACCTCTAATTGCTCTTATTTCAGAGGGTAATGTATTCCATAATCTAGTGGCTGCTACTTGGAATGTTTTATCTTCAAGAGTTTTCTTGTTTGATTCTTTACCCATGCCGATGGCGGCTCTAACAACAGTTCCTTGCACGAACGCAGGTTATTTCGTGTCCATTTATTAATCTTGATAAAGTTGCAAAAAAAGGATGGTACCGACATCATAAATTATCTTAATACTTAAGATAAATATTTTATACTTAATTCTAAAACAAACTGGAAGCCAGTGCAGACGATTTAAAGTAGGTGTTATGTGGTCAAATTTAGGTACCGCTGGAATGTCACAATTTTTTTTCCAAGTAAAAAGCAAAAGGACAGATAACATCACTTAGGCATCAGTTTTTATGTCTTCCGGTTATAGAACATCAAGCTTGAACACTAAAATAAGCTACTCCTATGGGTTATTTTAGCTGGAAGAGTCCGTAATCAAAAACTAATCTGTCCCTTCAATTTACTGTGATTAATGTCGGGAAAAGAGGAGTCAGGGGTATATTCAATTTAGGGGATTTCTTTGCGATGAAGTGTGTTTACAGGCCCAACAGGTATTACATTCTTTATCAAAACATTGAATAATTCGCTCTGATTACTCACAAAATTATTCTAACCAGAAAGGCAAAATTAAACGATATAAAATAGTGCTGACTCACCGTCTTTGTTGTTTGGTGTTGTTTCACAGACGTGGACCTATCAGATTTGCCTTACGATGTGGAGAAATCCATCTGTAGATTGGATACAAGAACTAGAGGTATCAGTGACTGGTATAATGTGGGTCGTCAGCTGGGTATCCCTGGTAAAGACATGAAACCTTTAGAGATGGAATATAATCGTCCAGAAGGAAGTCCAGCTAAACTGTTAACCGAAAAATTGCATACAAAATATTGCCTTAAGCTCCGAGAATTTGTTATTGCACTTCAAAAGGTAGGACGGAACGACATCGCTAAAGAAATTTGCAGCTTCTATGAAAAGAATGAATACTTGACAAACGATCGTTTCACCAGCAGTTCGACTGTTGAGTCGTATGTATAATCATTATTAATTGTTGAGTTGTTGAGTAATGCTCTATTTAATGCGTGCATTTGTAAGATGGGTGGGCGCGTACGTGCGGCACATTTTGGAAAAATTTGACGAACGTATAAGAGACCATGGTCACGAGATGTATCGTCTTAACTGTCCTGCGGTGAAGCAATCTTTAAGTGAAAATGCCAGGTTTTCATAATCTTTTTGTGCAAAAAGAAACGTATAAGTAAAGGAAATGCTTAGTTGTAAAAAATGTTTGACGATTTGTATGTAAGGCATGCAACTTTTTTTTTCCTCTCTGTTTATAAAGCAGGGACTGTCGAAAAGCTAGAAACACAATGCGCTTCGCTTCTGTTTACAAAACCATAATTTTACAGTAACAAACCCGCGATTATGAACCTGGTTATTAAGAATCTGTTAGGCTAAAATTTGCCAGTTAGGCCCCAACTCTACAAGAACCTGCATGCTCTGTCTAAAATTTGACACAAGTTCTGATTTTCTAAAATCTAAAAATTCTGTACAATTGGGCAAATAAGATAAGTCAACATTCAGGATCCTCTTTGGATCTTGCAATACAATGGCACGCAGATTTTATATAAATAATCAGCTACAATTTATTTTTTGTTAGGCCCGAACTTTTCATGAGCCGAACCTAATACATTGAATTAAGTACATGAAAAGTTCGCCGTCAGAATCTGAATTAGGAACGCTTGTTTCAATTCGGAACTGCTGAGCCGTTCTTTTTGCCTAGCCCAGCCGGGAATTTCGCCTTCGAAGCGACTTTGGAACGGCTCTGATTCAGAAGCCGAACTTTTCATGTACGGAACCTACTGCAGAAATTATTACAACGTATTTTGTAAGTAATTTGACCGAAATGAGCATTTTTCGCCCTTTGAACTTAATTCAGGTGCAATTAAGATCGGTGACTGAATCAATTCAGCCGGTATAAATAATCTGGGTCGGCCTTTATTCCAATTAGGTCGGTTCGGCTCATGAAACGTTCGGTGTCTGAACAGGGCCAAGAACCTAAATAGTCTAGATTTATGCTAATTGCCTTTTAAGCAAGAACCTGTTTAAGCTTGTTTAGGCTAACTTGCGAGAACGTAGGTTCTTAATAGTCGTGGGTTTTTACTGTATAATGCACGATATTATAATCCCATAGTGCTAGCAAGTTGAAGTCCAAGACCAAGAAACAATAAGTATTTATCAATTATGTGAAATGAACTATATTGATATAGACTGCAGATAAAGAGTATTTGGTGAGTACTCTAAAATTGATATAACTTTTAAAGCTTTTATAGCTTTCACCGTGTCCAGATTTTGATGCCTTTGCTGCGGATAACAAGTATTTATTATACTCTAAAACTAATATAATTCTCAATTTTCTTGTAAAAATATCAACACTTAATCATAAAGAAAGTCTAGAAGAACTTATAAAATGATCACCTATTGAAAAATTCGTTGATCTATTATCAAATTCTCTCAACTTATTCTTTAAGGAAATGTATGGAGATCAGTTTGGAGAATTTGCATGTGGATACTGGGGCCTAGAGGGTTAAAAGGAGAGATCTTGATATCACGTAATCCTCCCAAAGTAGTTTTTTTCTTCAACCCATGGACTCCTCGGCCTGTTGCAAGTAGCAGTTACCAGGGATACCAAAAATTCTTTCGAATTTGCCAGTCAAATCCAGGGGCGTTACGAGTCCATCTCTCAGTTTGGTATAGAGGTATACCGTATTTATTCGATTAAACGCCGCCCTCGATCAAACGCCGCAGATGTACGCAAATTATAAATTAACCCCGCCCTCCAATACTGAAACGCCTCACCTAATAGGAAGAATACAGTGTTTCCTCGAGGAAAATAAGAAAAACCTCGGCACAACTTGGTATTTACACCATCCAAACATTTATGATTCTATCTCAACAAAATAAGAGAGACATTGGAACCTTTACATTACATAGTATTTACAAACGCTTTACAATAACTGTTGTCAGTGATTTAAAAAAAGTGACTTCGAAATAAACGCCGTCCTTGAATAAACGCAGCATTGGAAACTGCCGCGGCGTTTAATCGAATAAATACTGCATCTAGTTGTTAAAACTACCCGTCAATGGATTACAGTCAAACAAATCGGTCACTTTGATTTGATCGGTGCAAATTATTCCTTCTACTAATCATAATATCAAGGCCATTCAGCCGGCCTCAAGGCACTAGAGAAAGACTGGGCCTCGTGGATATTTGATTTTTACTTAAAAAGAATTATATTTCGCTACCACGGCACCGCATTAGTACTTTAGTGATTATCTTTTTTGCCATGTATCGATTGTAAAAAAAAGCCTACGTTTATCATTAAGCATTATTCTTTTAGCCCCTAAAACTCCTTGAAGAGACGGTGTTATCGTAAACTCTTGAATTGTGATAATAATTTTATACCCCTCTTAAGAATAAATTTTATAGAAATTGTAAATTTAACACAGGTATTTCATGATAACAGTTGCTTTTTATGTGCAAGATTTTTGGCTTCTCTTAATAGCAAGCAATAAAGAGAGTGTGTTTACATTACTGGAGTTCTTAAATATCATAAACAATTACGCTCAACTGGATATAAGCACCCTGGCATCTCACTCCCGCCTCCGCATCTTTCTAAGCCCACGCAAACCCCTGACGATGTAATATAAGCCCAGACCTTAAAATTGACTTGAACTACCATAACAAAGAAAAGTCTACTGGGGTTCTTGTTCCGTGTATCCTTTTCTTTCACTTCAGTTTTAAGCAATACTCTTCTTGCGTTTTTTTCCCATACTTGATAAGGATTCTTCCTTAATACGTATTCAAAATGCCACCAAGAACTCCGTTCACATGACGTCTCATGTAAATAAAAGCGAAAGTAAAGGACCGAAGTTGTTCATCACATTATTTTCGTTCATACAGCACGTACAGCGATTTCTTCCACTTGACCTTTATCCTGCGGCATATATTTATCTTCATTTCTGCTAAATATAATGATGATATGCATGAATCTTCATCGCGCGCAGCCCTCTAACCGAGAATGAAATGACTCAGTTGGACAACGATTGTCATCCGCTCAGCATCGATGTCTGCGCCATTGACGACAGGCTTATTGAGCTTTGTGAAACAAAATCAAGCCTTTTCTTATTGCCTTGTTTAAATTGCTTGCTAAACTGAAGGCGACCGATGATGAACCCTGGCTTTTGCTTTTTCTATAGAAATATCGTTGATCGTTTGCCAGACTGAGTTATTGTATTTTTTGTTTCCTCATCCGGGAAACTTGAGAGGTAGCCGTAAATATCTTCTTCGACAACTGAGGGTGAAGTCAAATTAGGCTGTGTTCACACTATCTACCGGATAGCTTCTTGTTTTTTCCAGCGTAAAATCTATCCGGTATATATCCGGGAGGGCATATATTAAAGCGGAATAAAAAAAATATTTCGGAACGACGAGATAAAACGTATCTGAGAAACGAATTACAGCAAATATACCATTACACTTAGAGTTACATTTATACATCTATATTTGTGCGTCACAATAAGCGGAGAATGTATTTCAAAAACATCTCTAAAACACTTATGCGACTGGAACAACTGGAGCGGAACAGGAAGAAAGTCAAATAACTACAGGCCTTAACTTTATCAATTTGCCTTTTTTTCAGTTGCGTTGGAAATGAACAGTGGAACACAACTCGTAGCGTTGTTATATATGCACAAGAGAAGATAAAGGGCCCTTTCATCCTCTCGTGATATGCATGAACATTTATTTCTTTCTTTGGTGCCAATATAATAATTGTTCTAAACTCCACAGCCACTTGTTTGTGCCTGAACTTTAGATTAAAAATGTTGGTGTTTGTAAAGAGACGCAAAACTAGGAACGCACTTATACATTAGATGGGCTATAAACGGGGGGGGGGGGGGGGGGAGGGTATATCCGGAATAATATATTCGTTAGCAAATGGATGGGCTTATTTCCCCGGGGGGCTTTCATGTGGAGTTTTACGGTAGTTAAAGTTATTGTGAACAAAAAACAAACAACGGATTGTGCACGTTCAGGGAGCTCCCAAAATAAGCTGCTTCGCTTTTGTTCCCATCTTCGGTGTTTGCCAGCTTTTATAACCTATCAGTGACCTGGTCTTATGAATGCTTTAAAATATTTGTCAATGCTTCATTGTATTTGCACAGCGATTTGATAAAACCAGCAACAACAAACAAGGAACAGACAAGATCAACGCAATAAATTTCAAACCGACTGTAAATCAAAGCTCAGCCACACTATAGTTTCTTCGCGTCCTAGTGAGGGTGTCCGACAGCACGGGCAGTGACGTCACTTCTAGTTTTCAAACACTTAGAACTCTTCAGAACACTTGTTCTGAGGAAAACGCTTGGTAAATTAACAGCATATTAATAATGTGCAAAAAATGCGAACAGTGAAAGAAACAACTAAAATCATAGGTTTGAAGTAATTTACTTTTTACTATAGCTTTTACAAATTTCTTTCGAGTTGGCCGCGAGGTGAAGGACAGACATCGTTCCGCCTCACTTGACCCGAGCACACAGAAAATGCTTGCACCGCAGATTAAGTCACCCACGTATTTTAAAGTGCATATGACACGAAATTTTTTTTTTCTGTTTCTCGTAGTTTGATATGTCTAGAAAACGTCTCCGATCTTTAAATGCGGTCAAAATGTCTCTGGAGTCATCTTTTTCGCGTTTGAAGACCAAAGTCGTTTTATACACATATCAAACTACGAAAAACAAGGGAAAAAAATTTGGTGTCATATGCACTTTAAAGTACATGTATAACTTTAATAAAAATAGGGGCGTGGGACACGTAAACTAAGGGTTTAGCTACGGACGTGACCATGCGATGACTCATTTCCAACTGGCAGTATGATGGCATCAAGGCACAGACAAAAAACGGGAACTTGAGCAAGTCACGTTTCCGGAAGTCAGATTAGAATTCATCATAAATTCATCATAAAGAAACAGGAGAAACC